ATCAAATCAAGTTGACACCCAGGATTAGCCATCACAGTATCCGTATATGGTACAGTGAACATAGGTAAGTACACATGGTTGGAGAGCTCATAGATCCTAGAGGAGGCCCTACTATTGTCATTTTCCTAGACCAATGTAATTTCTTACTATATTCTGAGTGCCTATCCTTACATTCACAGATGAGTGTTCTCACCATTTTTCAAAGAAGCTTCTTTTTGCAACAGACTGAGACTGGTGAAGCGATCTACAACTGGTTAAAATGCAGAGAAAAAGTGACTGTGGGGTACCCAGCCCTAACTGATACAGGTACAATGCAACTTCTACACCGAGGCTTAGGGAATATTGCAGAAGAGGGGGTCCTAAAGATATAAGAGCCAGAGGGTCATGGCACCTGTATCTAGACAGGCTAAGGAAGCTGCATCCGTGAAATCTTCACAATGTGGTAGCCTAAAAAGGCCTACATAATGATAACACCCATTGACTTGCCAAGTAGCTGAGGGAAATTTCATGGGGCCCTACCTGTAGTTGAAGAACTACAGGCAATCAATGGATACTAAGGGAGGGAGTGTTGTTTTTCTCCAGGGACCATCTCCCTGATAGGTTATCTAATCCCAAGTGGTCAACCCTAAACACATATACACATAAGCATCACTAAATAGACTCCGTGAAATATATATGTATATTTATAAATGTATGCATATATATAATAATAATAATAAAGAAGAGAACAGGAAGTTGAGGGGAGGCTTGGGAGGAGCTGAGGGGAGTGAGAAGAGTGGGGATGATGAGATACAATACTCATGCATGAAATTTCCCCCAATAAAATCTATATTATTCACATCAAGGACTCGACTGTGCTTAGGTCTTCCTTACTCCAATCTTTTGATGCGTTGTACAATTTCTGGCTTTACCTACAGGTTTTCAGGATTTTACTCTTGCAGCTTGTGCTTACATGAATCTAGTATTCCTTTCCTAAAACTTTTATTTATTTTCCCTGATCTCAGTTTCTATTATGCCTACCTGTCTGTCTTAGTTCCTCTGGTGTTTGTATTGCTTTTGTATTTCTCTTACCTACATTCTCCCCTGAGTTTCAGGACCAATGTTTTGCTATTTAGCTACACTTGCTTTCTGGTATCTTTGAGTTATCAGAGCATCTTCTGTCTTCAATTCACTGTTACCAAATATCACTTTTGAGAAAACTCGGTGTTTTGCATAGCGTTCACAAGCTTGCCTGTACTTGGAATGACACCTGCTATACCTCCTTGTTTCCTCTGGAAATAACCACTACCCTGAGAACACGGCTCTACTAAATGGAAGACCAGATTCTGGATGCTATTCACATCCAACCAATCTTCTGCTGTTCTCTTCTGCTATAGTTCGTGTTGACCTTTGTCTTTTTGAGAATAGATTATTATTCCCAAGATACAAGAGTCTGTCTAAATTTGTATGTATTTGCTCTTGTTTCTCCCTGTCAGAAATCCTTCCAGGATTTGAAGGATCTGATGGCTCTGATTTGAAGCCTGATGCATACCACCGTGTGTATTTGCGTTTTGTTTTTTTTAAGTTTACATTTATTTATTTGTGTGTGTGTGTGTGTGTGTGTGTGTGTGTGTGTGCATGTGTGGAGGTCAAGAGGACAACTTGTGGGAGTTGGTCCTCTCCTTCTACCATGTGGGTTCCAGGGATTGAACTAAGATTGTCAGGCTTGGTGGCAAATGCCTTTACCCACTAAGCTATCTCTCTGGCCCTGGTCTCTCCTTTGAAAGATGAATACATAATTCTTCAGTTCCTCTCTACTCAATGTACTGTCCAAATCCTTTATAATCATTCATAACTCTCCCAATAGATCAAAATGGAAATTTTATCAGAAGTGATTTTGGTGACATGGAGGTGAGGAAAATGTAGAGACCAATTAAAGGGGCCAGAGTTGTCAGAAAGCATATGGGCAGTGATATGTACAGAACTTGCTTAGCCTTATGTCCACTCTTGCAAGTCTAGGCACAGGACCACTTGACATTTCTGAAGCAATATTCTCTGGAGAGGTTCTTTCTTCACAAAGGCTTCCTATACATGAATCTCATCTTCCTGTAGTGCTCATTCCTCCCTCACTAGGTAATGTTTTGTGATGATCCTAAGGATACTTGTTCCCACTTCCCTTTCTTCCTCATCCTCCATGATCAGATCATCCTGAATCATCATCACTCCAGGTCCTTGCCTCTGAATGCCAGACTTTGACACCCTCTTGGCAAGGCACCCTGGAGTGTGCTGTTCAAAATATTCCCTGCTGGGCCAGTTCCAAGGGGACTCAATAAAAGGAAAGGATATTGTTAGAATTGTGTTTGAAGAAGAAGCAGAAATACTAATTGGTGTCTAGGTACTAAGAGCTTTACTTTGGATCCCAATGGATAATGCCTGAGAAGAAGCCTATTATATGCCCTATTCTTGGGACCCGACTGGTAGCTTAACTTCTTACCCCTGTGTAGGTCAATCAGTGCAGTTCTTTGGTGAGTAATGGCTCAGGGTAGGAAGAGAGACATGTATAGGTTACATCCATTTTTCCTGAATCTGATATCCTTTCTATGGTGGGACTGCATGCTCTTAATATCATTAAGCAAAATAAAAAATACAGACAATGCTGTGTACATTGTTAAAAGCCTATCTATACCTTTGTTTGGTGTTATATGGGACAGAGAGGGAGGGATTAGGTATGTGAGAATTCTTTAACAAAGTGGGCGGACATCGTTCTAGACTAGGGTTAGGAGGAGGCTTTTTGGAGGCCTGTTCCTCTTTAATGCCCTGAGGGTGAGTCATTAAGAAAACATTTATGAAAGCACTTCAATCTGGAGTCACAGATTTTTCTGGTTCCTCAACCTGTTGCCTCTCTTTACCTACCTCCTTAATAGAGATAGAGCTGCTGAGCTTATTGAGTCAGGTATTCACTTGAGGCAGATAGGCATAATAAGAATATTTTCTGAATCTTGAGGCTATCCGGTGCAATTATTTCTTACAGTACTCTGAAGATAGAGGCTGAAGAATGGATAGTTTAGAGGATAATTTGAAGCAGATCTTCAGCTAATCAGAGCCTGATACATCTTGACTTCTCCTCTCTCCCTACCAGCACTGTACTCTAGGGTTGCTGAGGAGACCAGTGCGTCATTAGGAAGTGAGAAGGGAAGATACATGATTTCAACTGAGTTACTCCAGTTTCCTGCCTATCAGCCTCCTGTTGGAGGGATCTATCTGCTCATCTTTGCATGATACCTAAATCCTGAAACTATGTAACAATTAACCAGACTGCTTCCAATCCACCGTTTGTTACTTAGAGTTCAGTGAAGGTAATGATATTTTCAGAATCTGACAATTTTTGCATATTAAATCTCATTCAGTTTTCATTCTACTTTTAAGGAGCAGGTTTTTAGTGTAATCATTTCACATGTGAGGAACAGAAACAAAAGTTTGAAAATGGCTTGATGCTTTTATGAAGGTCACTCTGCTGACATATGGCAGAAAAAATGACTCAAACTAGAAAATTGGCTTCTGGTGCAGAATCTGTTCCATGGCCCCAGAACTCCAGATCCATTCACATCTCCCATTTTCCTAGCCCTCACATCTGTTATCATTGTGTGATCTCCTTAGCAGCTGTGGTTGAAGGAAAAGCAAATAATTACATGGTTTCCTTTAGAAATAAAAGGCAAACTTTCCTGGCCATTTTAAAGCTATACCATTTTGGTTTTCTGGGACTGTGTTGCAGACTGACTTCTGATTCTTTCCCTCACTTAGAGGCTTATTTTTGCTGTCATTGGGGCTCTGAGATCAGCAGCTGTATCTTTCACACCTAGTATGTGAATCGGTTCTCTTACATCCAAAGCCTTATCAGACCCTAAATTTAGTTGTTTTTTTGTCCTTGGCTTATTTTTCATACGAGAAGATTGTAAAGTACCTGAGGTATTGAAATGTAAGAAAGTCAGTCACATAATCTCCAAATCACCCCCTATTTGCTTTCTTATTTAATCCTTTTGTATTGTCCCATCCCTGTGGCTCCCCTGCCCCAGTTCGCAGGCCTACTCCAACACAGAGTTTGAAGGTTATCCTCTAGCTTGGGACTCAGTGGGTGTGAGCTGTGGTCTCATTCACTCATGCAGAGTTATGATGTTGATTAATTTACTCCTTTCTAGATCACAGTTTTCTCTTATAAAATATACAATGATGGGATTTAACAGGGAGCATCTTGGGGACATGAATAGTGCTGCAAACTGCTGCCGTGACAGCCTAAAGCGAGGAAGCACACCAGCTAACCTTCTGCCCTGCTCCCAGGAAGGTGGCCATGATACAGAATTCTCTGGCCTTCATACTACCGGTGTTATCAATAACTTCTGTTTGCTGTGTGGCACCCAAATGCTATCCTTGGTATCTGTCCCAGCTCAACACCACCTTGAAGGAGAGGAAGTCACAGAAGGTGAGGAAGTGAAGCAGTCATTGAGATACTGAATCGGGAAGCAAGTGGTAATAATACCAGGAAGAATCTGATCCATGCTGGAGTCACCACGGACTGTGGATTACTCTCTAATCTTGGCTTTAAGTAAATTCTGGAAGGGTGAGATGCCTCTAAGTGAAGGGATTTCCCAGATGTTAGCATGTTTTGCAGTTTCAGATGCTTAACTGGCTAAGGCTTGATGACCATATGAGGTCAGTGCTGCCTGAGTCAGCACCAGCGTTCATAACCGAGGAATGTGAGCTTGCTGGGAGTGATTTTAGATTGTGATCTGTTCGTAGAATCTGGTTTCTGAACTTCTTCCTAATGTATTTCCCTCTTCTGGTTTGAAGATGTACAGAAATCTTGACAAAATTAAAAACTAATTTTGATTCTTTCTTTAGAACTATGGGTGAGAGTGAAGCGGTGTTGGAGTTAAGGAGACCACACACCCCAAGCTCCCAGTCTTCACCTGTTAGATCTTAACTGCATGCCTTTCTCTGCAGTGGTCCCTTGTTCCCCATGTGGGACAATGGCCATGATACATTCTAATACTTCTCATCTTCCACATACCTTCTTCTTGGCTGGCATCCCAGGCCTGACGGCTGCCCACCTTTGGATATCCCTTCCCTTTGGCTTCTTGTTTCTCCTGTCACTGATTGGGAATGCTGTCCTGCTTTTGCTCATCTCGACAGAACGCAGGCTTCACCAGCCCATGTTTTTGTTTCTTGCCATGCTTTCCTTTGTCGACCTCGTCCTCTCCCTCTCCACACTACCCAAGATGCTGGGTATTTTCTGGTTTGGTGCTACGGCCATCAGCTCTCACTCCTGTCTTTTTCAGATGTTTGTCATCCATGCATTCTCTGCCATGGAGTCAGGGGTGCTGGTGGCCATGGCCTTGGACCGCTTTGTGGCTATCTGTAACCCACTGCATTATGCAACCATTCTTACTCCTGGTGCTGTCATCAAGATAGGAGGCCTGGTGGTGCTGCGAGGTGTGGGGTTGACCATCTTCTTTCCAAGCCTGGCCAATCGGCTCTCTTACTGTGGTTCACACACAATTCCTTATACCTACTGTGAGCACATGGCTGTGGTGAAGCTGGCCTGTGGAGAGACAACTGTGGATAGTCTTTATGCCTTTGCTGTGGCAATCTTTCTTGGTGTGGGAGATGTGGCCTTTATTGCCTACTCTTATGGGCAGATTGTAAAGACGGTGATGTGTTCTTCACCTGAAGCTCGCACTAAAGCAGGCAGGACCTGCACAGCCCATGTCTGTGTCATCCTCTTTTTTTATGGACCGGGCTTTCTTTCTGTGATCATGCAGCGCTTTGGGCCACCCACAGCCTCTGCTGCCAGGGTCATCCTTGCCAACCTCTACTTACTCTTCCCCCCTGCCTTGGACCCCATTGTCTACGGGGTTAAAACCAAGCAGATCAGAGAGTGTCTGTTTACAGTTCTAAGCCACAAGAGGATTGAACCCCCTTGAGTGTTATTCTCATCATCTAGCCCTCTGCGGTCAGGTGGTGATTAACCCAGAAAGCCACAACTGGCCCAAGTGCAGAGATAAGAGACTTCAGAGTGCTTGTCCCTGGGTAGGACACCTATATCACAACTCCGCCACCCAGGGCTGAGGGATTATTGTGGAGGGGAGAACTGAAAGACTGTAAGAGTCAGGTGGTGAATGCCCACAAGGAAAAAGAGTTTTCTAGGCAGCTGCAGAGTTGCTTGTATGAACTTACAACAATGGTGACAGCATGCGCAAGACTCATGAAAACTCAAACCAGACAAAAATCCATCATAAAAGTATGGAGATGAGGAAGAACCCATGACCTTAGCTGAGAAACTATTGGCAATTGATGGCTAACAGGATAGGAGAGTTGGCATTCTTTCAGGGAATGACACCAGATAGATTGACCAGGTTCCAGTAGATGGACTTACACTGAGGGACATTTGGAGACCCAAATTTGGCTCAATAGCCCTTAACATATATGACATAATGCTTGAATTACAGTGTGTTGGGGGGGCTATATGGGAGGGTGCAGTTAAGGGAAGGAGTCTAAATAAGATCAAGATATATTGCATGAAATTCTAAAAAATTCAATAACACTAGAATTTTAGCTAAGTGTGGTGGTGCATGCCTATAATACCAGTACTTAGGAGGCTGAGGCAGGGGGATCACATGTGAGGTCAGCCTGGACTACATGGTGAGTTCCATTCTAACCAGGGCTGCATATTAAGACCCTCACAAAAAATAGAGTTCTTATACAGCTGGACTCCAATAACTCAGAAATTCAAGGAGTAATAAACTGGATGTTTATTCTGGACATATGAAAAATAAGGCAGCCCCCACCATGATAGCCCTCACATGGGAGCAGATAGACCTTCTCTACCAGAGAAACTTCAGCTTCAAAGGAGAAATAGCAAATTATGGAGATAGTGTAGCATCGAGTTTATGAGAAAACAATTTAGAATTTTCATGTTCCATCTGAACAGAATTGCAGACAAAGCCTGATTTCTTTATTCATAGACTCTTTCAGTCTAATTTTGTGATAGGTGATACTTCCTACAATACTATATATTTAAATATTTTGCTTATAATTTTGTTTTATGTGTATGAGTGTATTGCCTCCGTGGAGGTCTCAGGAGGGCATTTCAGATCCCCTGGAACTGGAGTTACAGACAGTTGTTAGCTGCCATGTGGGTCTTGGGAATTGAATCTAAGTCCTCTGCAAGAGTAGTCAGTGCTTTTAACCACCAAGCCATCTCTCCAGCCCCAATACTATATATTTTTAGCCCTTGAGGATAATGATAACTATTTTTTAATTTCCCTGTTTTTATTCTGAAGAACGGAGAGACTCAAGTCAGTCATATAAGTATCTTGTACACAATGTTTCTTCCTGATTCTTGTTCTGTTTACTTATTTTCTTTCTTTGTTCCTAACTGTCTTGCTCATTCATTTCCCAATTCCTACCACTGACACTCACTATGCTTGCGTACAGTATGTTCTTATGCTTTCACATATCATTGGAATATATAGTACTGTCTGAGTGTTATAGGTTCCTATATACATAAGTGCCCGTCTTTGAGTTCCTCAAATGTGTATGTTCCCTTTAGTGAGGATTATCCAAGATCTCTGTCCTTAAACTCAGCATGTCGTACAGTTGAATCTCAGATGAAACTTCACTCCTCAGAGATTTTTTCCAGTTACACCAAATCACTGTTTTCTACTCTAAGAAAACTGAGTTTCTTTCTTTCATTATTTATCATAATTTACAATTGTATATGTATTTTTAATTGGGTGAGTTATTTCTGCATCCATAGTGGACAATGATTGTATTCTTGGCGTGGTTCCTGATATATGATATGCTAACAATAAGTGCTTGTTTAAGTAAAAAAAATAAAAAAAGAAGACTTACCTTAATGAACTGTGTCACCAGAAGCACATTTTTAATCAGCCATGCAAGCATAATACGTGCTTTTGAATAACTAAATAAATTTTCATAATAGAAAGTATTCAGTGTATCTTTATTGAAACGAAATAAACCATTTTGTCCTTGCCAGCACAATCACATCACAAATACTAGTGCCTTTCCTATTGCAATAATAGCTAATGTCTCTTCACTTAGTCTTTTCAAAGGCTGTAATTTCAAATGATGGTATTTTAGACACTATACAGAGGCTCTGGAGGATGGGGTTACTGTTACATGGTAGGCTTATTTCTCTGTATAACTAGAGAACAGACAGAAAAGATAACTTTTGTTTTCTTCTCCCCATTTCTTTTCCTTATTATTTTCTTTCATACTTTGGGTATTTTCTAGTTTCAATGTGATAGTGTGATGAAGGTCTTCGGGAGAGATGGAGCAGTCACAGGATTACGTAGGTGGATTCTTTAGGTGGGTGGAGGGTTGAATGATGATTAACCCCTGTGGACTTAGAAGTCTCTGAGAGCTTTGGGTAGACTAAATTTGAACAATCATTCTCTGAATATGTTGTGTAAGTGAAAACTACTGTTAATAAAGGCAGCTTCTGTGGGCTCACTCTTACTCAAGGCACCTTGAGATAAAAGGTTGGCTTGTGTAACCATTTATGCCTCCAAAATGCAAACATCTTGTATCATTATTTCTACTTTGTGTAAATTCTCCCAACCAAAGGTAGGGCTGTTAATTTTCTTATATTTTTAGTTTCATAATGAATTTAATGTGCTTGTTCCCAATACGTTGTGCAGTTCTTTCTTATAAAAACAAGTACAGACTGGTGCTTCTCTGGGTTCATGCCACCAAGAAAATCCTCCTGTTCTACTTGCAGTTAATGTTATGTTTCCTTACAACTCATGAAATAATAGCATGGTCAAAACTGTCTATTTTTTTTGACTGCACATGATCCTGGTGGAAAACACTGGTATTCTTATGGATAATTCATTGAACACTCTGACTTTTCACGTTCCTGATCTCGTTATCTCCCATTGATCCCTAACCCATCTACCTATTCCTACAATGTACCCTTGAATGTCTCCAGAATTCCCTACGCTAGCTCTTCAATATAATATGCCATTATCTTTGTTAAACCACTTTTCATTCATTCTCCCAGGATGATACTTTATTGATGAGATTCCAATCATATCTTTGTTCTTTGCTTAAAATTATTCATGACTTTCCAGAACTCTTGAACATTGCAGAAAACTCTATGTGATCAGGTCACTGCTTATTTTCTAGAATTCATTCTTAAGTTCTGGAAACCTGAATTGAAAAAAAAATTAATGTCTCTGAAAATACCAGATTCTTTTTCTCCCTGTTACTGTCCTCAGCCTATCATCACCTACCTTCACTTAAAAAACCTTATGGAGCTTTTGAACATTTCATACAACAGTTCTTAATCAAATTCAGACCATCTCCCCCAATCATGCCACCCCCGCACAAGACCTCATGTATTCCAAGATACATGTTAAGCCCTATCCAGTCAAGCATTTGCACCTAGAAGTTCTTCAGCGCAAATTCATCCACTGGAATCTAGTTAGCCTATCTAGAGATTGAAAGTAAGGCCAGCTCTCCCTCACCCAGCAGTTATCAGTCTCCAGTAGTTCCCAGATTAGGGTTGGACTGGCACCCATTTCCCTTGCTCCACTCTGTGCCCTTGTTTGATTGAATTTGGCATGGGTCACTTCATTCTGGTCAAAGGAATAATTGACAAAGAAGATATTACAATCATGAACATATTATGCACCAAACTCTGGCCCACCCAACTTCATAAAAACAGTACTACAGGACTTAAGACAAAGATTAATCCCAACTCACTAGTAGTATGATACTTCAATACACCACTGTCTCCATTAGACAGGTAAATGGGAAAAGAACAAGCAGAGAGACATCTGAACCAAACAATGCCATACATCAAATGGACCTAACAGACATCTACTAAATATTCCACCCAAGCACCAAAGAATACACTTTCTATTCAGTGCCTCGTGGAACTTTCTCCGAAATTGACCGCATAATGGGGCACAAAAAAAACCTCAACAAATAAAAAAATTGAAATAATTCCATGCATTCTATCAGGCCACAACACAATAAAGCCTAAAATCAACATGGGAAGAAACCGTAGTAAATACATGAGCTCATGGAGATTAAACAACACACTCCTGAATGATGAATGGGTCAAAGGAGAAATTAAGTAAGAAATAAAAGTATTCCTGGAACTAAATGAAAAGGACATTACAACACAACAAAACCTTCAGGATACTTTAAAGCAGTCCTAAGAGGGACGTTTATAGCTCTAAGTGCCTACATTAAAAAATCAGAAAGAATACAAATAAATGATTTAATATTGTAACTCAAGACTCTGGATAGGCAAGAACAAATGAAACCCAAACCCAGTAAAAGAGAAGAAATAACAAAAATCAGAGCAGAAATTAATGAAATAGAAACAAAGAAAATATAAAGAATCAATGGATCTAAGAGCTGGTTCTTTGAAAAGCTAAACAAGGTAGACAGAACCTTAGCCCACTTAACCAGAAAACCCAAGGGCCACACCCATTCACTCATTAAAAGTGATGAGCCCTGGCTCTAACTGACATACTTCCACTGTATTTATATTCATTTTTAAGGGATGATTTTAATGTAGTTACAAAGCAAATTTGAAACATAATACAAAATTCAGGATACAAACAGGTAGATCATATGATAAAGCAATTTATAAGGAAGTGAATAAATTGCTTTGGGAAGACTGAATTTACAAAGCATTTCATACAGAACCTCTCAAACAACCTTGATCATCTTTATACCCCCATTGCCACTGGCACCCTCCCATAATGCCCTCACAGGAGGTAATATACTCTGTCATCCCTGTTACTGCCCACTGTGTTGTCAGTGTCTCTAGCTGTTCCCCAGTGCAAGTCTGTCCACTGAGTCTAGTCAGCCTATCTAGAGCCCCTTGTTTTAGTTCTTCATCTAGCAGCAACCAGTGGCCAACATTCCTTAAGATCAGACTGTTCATTTCCCCAGTTTTATGC